CACCTCATAACTGGGGCATTATGACTTAAGACATTGAACTAGAGTGTGTGTTGTACTCGAGCATTTTGCATGCAGAATGTGGCCAAGCAATAATTAATTATTAAAGTAATTTATATTCTTCTACCTCACGTCTTTTCTTCACTCTCTTCAGTTGCAGGATTGTTTTTTGTGAAGTGAAACCCAAGTATGCCATTGTAATACAAATACTCATTTTTGAACACCAAGTCGTTGCTGTAGGTATTGACTTCTTTTCGTCCCTTTAAATATGGGGGTGTGTATCTTGCACACAACCCAGAACTGATTGTAATGTGAGTCTCCTTTTATGGTGTTGACCTTAATTCTAACTTGGGACAAGGGCATGTCACATCACATCCTTTGTGGGGAGATATTTTCATCTTGTAAACCAAAAGTCAAGACAGCCATGAAAGCAGCTGGCTCTGGGTGATTCTCAAATCCTCTTTATAATGCTGACTCTCATATAAGGCTTCTGTGCATTAATTGCAAGTAGAAGAATGTATTGTTTTAGTTTTTAAAAAGCTCTGTGCTTTAGATGAGCACAAGCTGCACTAGAAACCCCCACTTAGTTTAGGCTTTAATTAAGACCTCGGGCTTGCACAGATTTTTTAACGCACCGAGCACTTCTACATTTAAAACTGTCCAACAGTGAGCACATCCAACCAGARATTTCAGTGAGGGCACAAAGATGAATTTTATTTTGAGAAGCTTAACTCAGAAGCGAAGCAAACCAAACCTGAATTTGTTTTAATATTGTGTGTCGCTGTAGTTCTCACCATAGAAGTTTTCACCTTCTGTATAGATTAGGTTTTTGTATCCTGTGTTGTTGTCTTGCTTTCTTATTCTCTGAGTACCCTTTGGCAGCTAGAAAATATTTAATAAAGCCAGCTGGCTGCAGTATTTGAACTCAGTTTCTGAAATATTTCTGAGGATATATCCTGCCACAAACTTATTGTGAAGCTCCATCTTTCTCCTGTGGCTGAGAGATGATGAAAGGGGACATCARTCACTGTTCCTGTGCTTGATAAGGACATTTATATGACCTTCAGCTACTACAATGACAAAAATTATATCTGGATGTGTTTTTGATATATAGCTTCCTGGGGACATGCATGTGACAGTCCACCTGCAGAGACTGCAAGTATTGGTAAATRATCTGTATTCAGAGTAGATTTCTCTTCTCCTGTCCCTTCTCCTTTTTTAGGGTCTCTGGTATACAGTTGCAGTGGAAGAGAGAGAAAGTGATAGTCATAACAGCCATTGTTGTTAGAGGAATGGAAATGGTGCATATATGATGCATATGGGTCAGTGATAGCTGTTTATAAAAAAAGGCCAGTTCTATGAGTATGATAAATATGTACTGCTCTTAAATTAGGTTGAGAACAGCTTAAGTCACAGTCACCGCAGAGTGATTAATTACATACCTACTGCTACTAGAAMAAAGAATTAAAGAGCATCTGCTTTTGCAGAACAATGTGGTCATTGCAGAGAAGGATGAGACATTCAGTATGATGAGAATTTTCTTTCTTAAGAACCCCAKGTCCTAGCTGAACCACTGAACCCTGGGATCTTCTCTGGTGGAACAGCAACTACCTCCATGACTTTTGTATATACACCACAGATAAAATAAAAAGACATGAATCATAAGATGCATCAATTTGTAGATTCCAAAGAGTTCTGCAGAATTTACAGAATCACAGAAGGGTTGGAAGGGACCTTAAAAATAATCTTGTTTCAACCCCCCTGTTTTGGCCAGGGACATTTTCCACTAGGCCATGTTGCTCAGAGCTCCATCCAGCCTTGTCTTAAATGTTCCCAGGAATCGCCATCTGCAACTTGTCTGAGCAACTGTTTTAATGCCTCACCACCCTCACAGTAAAGACTTTTTTTCTGTTTTATAAACTAAACCTACCCTTCTTCAGTTTGAAGCTATTCCCCCTTGTCTTATCCCTACATGCTCTTGTTATCAGTCTATTACTACATCAGCAAATTCCCTCAGGATTCTGGGATGCATCTCATCGGGTCCCCATAGACTTATGTTCATTCAGGTTTCTCAGGTGGTCATGAACCTGATATTTACACTGGAGGACTTTGCTCCCCCAGTCCCCATCCTGCTGTCCATCCACTCCAGTGTGGGAAGAGAAGTTGAGTACTTTGGTGCTCACCAGYTGTTATAAGAGTTTGTTACGATGGCCACCTTCTGTCTCGGTCCCACGTCTTGGTTTTTACAAGCTCAGTAAACATTTTTGCATATTGCAGGCTGAGTAAACACTTGTGAGATAAGTTTATCTGTGGGTTCCTGTGCTTTTTATTAAATCCTCTTCTGCTCTGCAGTGCTCTTTGTTTTGCTCTGAGTGACACTGCTAAACACCTCAGGCTTCTTGTTTTGAGCCTGACCTTACTCCACAAGGGTAAAGGAAAGGCCTCTACAAGAATCCAGGCAGAGTTTTTCAGGTGTATCCGATGAATGTGCTTAGAGGTGCAGATGATGCCCTCATTTCTTTCTTTCTTTCTTTTTCTGGTACTCTGCAGGCCATCCTTCTGGAAGATATTTCAAGGTATAATTTTGTTCTTCTATACGTGATCTAAAATGATTTCTAGCTATTTTCTACACTGTGTCAGGTTTCAATCTCTTTTTTTGTCCTAAATGTTTTTTTTTTAAAAGTTCTTTTTAAAAAACATACAAGAAAAAGATCTTTAACAGCTCTAGTAACTAAGTAATAAAAACTGAATGTCACAGCAAGGTCAGATCATAACAATGTGACAGGATATATTGGCTCTTAAGGAGAAAATTACTGTCATTGTTTTTATTTCACGGAGTTTAAAAATAAGACATCTCACAACTGTAATAACAGAAAAGGGTTTGGTTTGATTTTGCATGCTTCTTCAATTAATTCCTTAATTTTATTTCTGTTGCTCTACATTCTATTTTGGCAGTGTTCATATTTCAGTTTTGCTTCTTTCAAACTAGAAAGGTGACCAGACTGACTCCTGTCATTTCAGTGCCTCAGTGGAATTTAGAKGTACATAGCATTGATATTCAGGGAGTTATTTTCATTTCTTCGTAGTTAATAAACTGTTTTAGTTTTCAGTTTTTTGTTTAAGAATTAATTGATCATTTCTTTCCAACTTTATTCCAGTTTTTTTTTTCCAACTCTTAGACAAAATTTTTAACTGTACAAATGCTGTCTTGCTGCTAAGCTGCTTTAAAATGGTGTACCTGATCATGGTGTGGTAACCAAGGTAGCTTTTTATTTCATAGTRCATATCTCCCAGTATTGAGTTTGGTATAAAAAACTTGAAGAGTGGGACTAGCACCAGTGAGACTGATTCTACATGCATACTTGAAGAGGTTCAGTTCTATAAATACTGGTCTCATGTTGTATCAGACTCCTAGGGACTATCAGGGACATAATCTCACAGAATTTTTTCAAAGGGATAAAGACTGTGGGTTAAGCACAGTGATGATTTCTTATGATTGAAATGATGATTGAATTCAATGAGTTTTGAAGTCTTCAAATCCTGAAGAAGGATTTGGCAAAAATGTACTTTGTGCACAGTTTTAAACATGCCATCCTATAGCATAACCCATATTCTGTTGGTTTACTCTTAAAATCTGGAACTTCCTTCCAAAGATTCACAAATGAATTTTCAGTTTCTGTTGTTGCTGACAGCTAATCTCTCCCGTGCCTTTGATGAATGGTGYAGCAAACACAGATGGTGGATGATGGGTTATGTTGTGTTTGAGCAGTGTCTGCTTGTGTCAGGGTAGACCTCCAACAGCAGGCAAGAGCATATATATGTCTTTGCTAATATGCATATCCTTTTGGCTCTTACATGTGATGTTTTCTTGTCATGCCTCTGAGTTAGTAGGGTTTTTTTTTTTTTTCCTGCTTTCCTGTGAGATTTGGAGATTCCTTCTAGCTGGGTAGATATTTGACAGCAGCAACTGCTGTTAGGCTACGAAGTCATTTTTTGCATCTTGCCCTGGTGGATAGGCTGTTTTCCTCTTCCACTTCAAAACTAAGCTCTGAAGGAAGATCACAATACAGAGAATCAAAAGCACTATTGCTTGGTTTTGTGGCCTGAATTAGACAATAKTCTAATTCAGCATTTCAAGCGCAGTAAGAACACGGTTGAATACCTGAATTGCTGTCTAGCATGTTAATGGATTTTTAGCTTTTGTAGTTGTGAGCACTTTGAGTGGCTTTTGATTCTGAGTGAAAAAATAGGTGTCTATTGTTTTAGAACTAACAGTATAAGACTTAATATTTGACCATTGTAAGTATCTGGGAACATCACTGCTCTGGTGGATGTTTTGTTTCTAAGCCATTTTGATCTCCATCAAGAGAAGCCCATTTCTGTAGCTCTTGTCCCAGCCTGATCTCATGACCCCCCCTTCCCTGGCTTGGGTGAGGCTGCAGGGGAAACTGTRTGTGCACTTAGTGTGTTGGAGTGAACAACATGCTTCAGTGGTCTCCACGCCCTAACCATTTCCTCACATTTGGGATTATATGGAGTGCTGGGTCTATAGCATCCATTAAGCAATCGTGAAATAAGGTTTTCTTTTCACGGCGTGTGAGCGGCAGAGATGGCAACAGAAATATTGGCACATATTGGCACTTTCAGCTTGCAGAATACTGAAGTCTGATACATGTTAGTGTAAGCATTTGGAATAAAACCCTTTCTGTCCTTCGGGGTTCTTATGGTCTGGCTAATAGTGCTCTCCAGTACAAGCTTTCCATTCATGCATAGTATGGTTTTAAGTGTTTAGGGTTTTTTCTGAGTCCGGTGTTTTAAATTTTCTGCTCATGAAAGTGGCCTGATGATTTTTCCTTTGGTTCTTTTTACAGCTTGTTAAATTTTAGTAAGCCTGTTTGTTCTAACTCATAACTTCCCCTGGTAATATACTACTTTTGTTAGCAATAGGAATAATAATTTATATTTTAATGTTGTGAATAATTGAAACCTACTATATTTTTCAGTAATTGCTGGTTTTCGAGGGACAGTCCCACATGGCCTATCACTGGAGATTGGAGACACAGTTCAAATATTAGAGAAATGTGATGGTGAGTCCATGGGTGATTCCACTGATAATTCAGTTTTGTGTGTTGGTGGTTTAAAGTCCATTAATATTTTTTTTTTTTCTTACAGTAACACATTTTTGAAATCAATAATACAACACGTTCTGGCCTCTTAATGTTTTTTTTCCACAATTCCAGTGAGCTCTAATCCCTATAATWATTAATTTACAGTTCATTAAATTTTATTTAATCTCTCTGTTTAATAAATATTTACAGAGGATAAGAGTTATAACAGAAAGGTCACTCATGATTCTTTTGCTTTCTTAATAATTCTGAGGGAAACCTGGCTGCCATCAAGACATTATCAAATTTATTCTAAGTCACAACTTTAAATCTTAAAGCAGTGTAAGCATTCTCTTCTACCTCTGTTTTGCATTAGAGAATGCAAATATAATTTTAATAAATGTCTGTTGCTAGTGTCAGAGAAATAAAGTTGCAAATTTTTCATAATCTGCTTCCTTAAAAAATAAACATTGATATTTAAATAATCTTTAATTATTTTTTTTATAATTTGAGATTATATAGGGTGTTTTTGTACCATATCAGGATTRTGTATGGTTAACTTTGTAGGAAATATTCTTTTAGAAGGCAGAGGATCTGTTCTTTTGATTCAGMTGTATTATGAATTTTGTATAGCAATGTGGTTGATAGCTGTAGAACCTGAAGTCCAGAAATTATTTGTAAATGTTTAGAGTTAATATGAAAGTATTTTGGTTTTGACTGGTGKTGTSTCCAATGAAGAATATACCTGGGTTACACTGTTAGCAACATTTAGGGATACAGGGTTAGAGAGTAATTCCTGAAATTGTGTGTATTAAGTCATCTGAATATGAACTGGTTTAAATGAAATACCTTTCATTGTATGGAACATCTTTTAAATGAGGGTAGTCTGACAGCACTGTGGAATTGTCATATTTGTCCAAAAGGGAAGCATGAAATCTATTTTACATATGTAAATTACTTGCATACTTTAAAAAGCAAAATGTGCTTTCTTCACAGGATGGTACAGAGGATTTGCCTTAAAAAACCCCAATGTTAAGGTAAAGGTCAATCACAATTTTGCATTCTTTAGCAAAAATGTATATTTACTTTTTCAGAGTTAATAGTCTGCTTATAAGTATATGATATTTACTCTTRAAAGTAAACCAGAGCTTAGTGTTAAGTATATTATTGCTATTACTTTAATTAGATTTGGGCATGGATTACCCTTCTGAAATGCTTCTGTGTATTAGGATAATACACTTTACAAATCCAAGACTGTGGTGAATTTTCTTTCATTTCTGATTTTTGGATTTTCCACTCAGAGGAAGTTAAGTTGAAGGAAAAAGACTACTGAGAATACAAATTGTAAACACTGTTGGAAAAGTTGGTTAAACTGTGCCTGTTTTTCTTGATGCTATGAATTAATTTAGAGCAGGCACTGGAGACAGCTAGTTTATAGGAGCCACATGCAGAGTATCAATTGAATAAAAGATATGTGTTGCCATGTAAATATATGGTTCATTTTGGTTTTCTTTGATGTGTAGTCTTTTATTTCCATAGTAGGGTAGTTTTCTAAACAAGACTTCACTGATTTATTTCTTCTGCATTCAGACATGAAAAGTTACGAAATTTATATTTCAGTGTCTGTTCRCATTGTATGTTCAAGCTTTACTCACCTTATTTGTCTTCCTGTTTTCTGAACCTGTCCTGTTGTCTTGCCTCTGAGMTTGTACAGATTTTGTTTTTCATGGGAAAGAAAGATCTTAAATTATCTCTTGATCCTTTAACCCACATTGTAAGCTTTGCTATTCTTTTTCTCTCCTCATTTCCAAGATACTTCAGCTGCAAAATAAGGCACATACACATTACTTTCAAAAGTTTCTAGGGGCTTATATCAAGTCTTTGGCCTTTTGTGCCAAGGCTTGTCATGTCTAACCACATAAATTTCCTTTCTTTATATGGAAGGTTGATGTGAACAATAAATTTAGCCACAGAGTCTAATTTGATGTTTACTACTTTGACCTCATTGATAAATATTACGGTTTGATTTATAAGACATGAGCAGTTGTGGTTTGTTAGTGCATCTTCTGTTTCTTTTCTTGCAATTCTCACCACATGCTTGCTGTCAGTCTTGCTTGGTGGTCTGTCAAATGTGTGATGGAAGTTATGAATAGCTTTTCTAAACATGACTTGATGTGTGAAGAGATGAGATATATATTCCCTGTTTTCCTACTGTTAATGCAAACAGTTTTCTGATTTGGGTTTCTGAAGGGAATCTCTCCAAAAGTAAAATAATAAGAGCACCTTGTGACTCCTCTTGTTATTGGTATTACTCTGTCAAGATTTTTCCCTTGTTATTCTGCCAGCTTTGACACTTGAAAAAGTTCTCTGTGGCAGCTGTTGTGCACTCAGGGTGCATATGCAGCCATCCTGCTCCCTGACATATTGTTACACCTGCAAGGCTGTGTGTCTGACTGTCCTTGGGAGATGCTCTMCTGATCTACTTTGCATTACAGAGGAATGGGAGCATTTAAAAGGGCAGTTGCTTCCACACAGTAGATTTGTTTTTGTCAAAGGTCTAATGCCTGTGTTAAAAGAAAGTGGGACAGCATCACCACAGAGGAGAGCTGTGTGCAGCTTGTTATGAAGAGACCATATCCGCATTTTCCCTCACTGCATGAGCTGTGGTGTATTGTGTTCCCAGGCAGAGGCTTGGAGCTGACTTGTTTAATTTTGCTCGTTCTGATTAGTGCAGTTCAGTGTGCTGTGAGAGCAGCAGGAATGGTGGAGAGCCCTTAAACATTGCAAAAGGGCTGCTCCTGGCAGGACAGGCTCTTTGACAGGCATCTACCACAACTGCCCTGTGCAGAGTAGCCACCAAATTAAACTTTATTTTTACTTTCTTTATTAATTTAACTTCATTTGTATTGAATATTATTAACTTCATTTATTTTGCTTTATGTTTAAAATCCCTCTCTGAAAAGCCTTGTTTTTAAGATGTGGTTGGWAAGATGTGATCTCCTTCAGCTATTCTGTGCCTTGTCAAGGTGGGAATAATTAGTAAAACCATCTGCCATAAGGGAGCTCTCAATGCATTTTCTACATGTGTTTATCTTCTAATTTTCTGAAGTGTTGAAGGATTTAAACTCTATTGAATATGGTATTTTAGTTTCTGTTAGCTATACTGAGTATTTGTTGCATTCTTTCCTTGTTCATTTTTTATTTGGAGGACTTTGAATTCAGCATGTATTTACATATTGAATGATATTAAATGCTGTGCCAAACTCATGTGAGTAGACTGTTTTTATCTAAACATTTTATTTTTCAGGGCATATTTCCATCTAACTACATTCACTTGAAGAATGCATGTGTTAAGAACAAAGGGTATGTGAATTCTGATTTCAAATATTTAAACATGGTTAGTTACTTGTACCAAAGATCTTTTGCTCGTAAAGTAAATAATTTTGTTATATTATGATACCTTTACTTCATCTTGCTGCCAGAGGACTTSAGATGGTTGTTTTTAGCTAATCTGATACTCCTACATAGTCACAAAATTGGAATGCTGTATCCTGAAAAAACACTGAACGCAACTGGGAATATCATTCTGTATTGTCTAGAGAAAAGTGAAAACAATTACATGTTAAGTTTGGCTTGAAAATRGCATTGGCTTAATTTGAAGAAATTATTCTGTATATAAGCTGTCTTTTAACCTGCTGTTTAAGATTAGCTCTTTTCTTTGAGAGCAGCAGCTCTGCCATGGTAGACAGTTGCCATTTTATAAAACGAGGATAAAATAATGTATCAGTTTAATAGCAAAAGATTTTACTAAACCTGTAAATGAATGGAGAAACTTTTTCCTTTACTTCTTTTCTTCAGCTGATGGCAACACATTATTTTTTTGACAGCAATTGGTATATTTTCATTTTTAGAAGAGTTGATAAAAACCAAAATCACTGGTTAAAATTAGTTTTGGAATTTTGTTATGATATTCAATGGTCTGACTAAAAAAAAAAAAAAACCAACACAGATTTTTTTTTTTTAGGTGCAAAACTTGCCTTGATGGTATCACTTTTAAACATTTGAAACTTGTAAAAATTTTGAAACTTGTAAAAATTGTCAGTGATTTCAGCTCAACTGTTTTTTCTCACAGGCTTACTTAATTTGTAATCATATTCATCATGTTCATCTTGTGTCCCTTATTTGGATTTATTAGTAGAGAACTGATACAAAACAGTTTGAAACCTGTTTTAGTAAAGATATTTCTCATACTAAATTAAGAGACCTTTATTTTGGGAGGATGAATGACTGTGTTTTTCATGGGGTCCATTATTTATGATAGGCAAAAATAATGATGAAGACTGTAATAATATTAAAACAAAGTTTCATTCCCAGAGGTGAAAGTGTCCGCACATTTCTGTTCAGTTCACTGTTTTTTGCTATGGAGTTCTAACCACATATGTTTGTCATGCCCTAGGATCCTTTCTCCTTTTAAAGTCATAGCTAAAACTGAAGGTTCAGTGAAAAAAAAAATGTAAACCATCACAATAAAATAAAGCTTAAAGGCAGAATAATTTTTGTTAGTGGACACCATGACAGTACTTGCATGGAGTTCAATCTTTGTTGCATCTATTTCCTTTGTTAATTTGTGTTTCCCATTCAGGCCATGTGCCTTGCTGCACATTATGGCTAGGCACTGTCACATTGTTATGTTAACTTAGTAAAAGAGACAAGATCTCATGATAAAAGTAAGCCAGGCATGAAAAGCTGAAGTGTCAAGGTCCCTTTGTAAACTAYGGGAATTCTTCTGCTGTGGAAGTCACTTTCTACATGCTTATCTCACAGTAAAAATACTCACCTTGACTTCTCTAGGATCAAGATTTTGCATGGGGATTAAACTATTTTCACGCAAAGTTTTTCCATGAGGATTAAATAAATCTACAAATAAAAAGTGTCATGGCCTGAAAGAGCACTCATGTAGGTTGACAGGCATCACTGTTGGCAGTAGGAAGTCTACATATTAGTTACTGCAATGAGATTAGTAATGCTTGTGCAATATCATGTGTTCTTCTGCATGTTACAGACAATTTGAAATGGTTATTCCAACAGAAGATTCTGTTATTACAGAAATGACATCAACTCTAAGAGACTGGGGAACTATGTGGAAACAGCTCTATGTGGCAAGTACCCTGAATAATACTGCTTTGATTTAATGTTGTCTCAAAAGATGCACTGTTGTTTAGATGCTCTGGTTTAGTTGAAGTATATGTTCCAGAAAAAAACCCAAAATATTCAGTTTGCTTTTTAATTGTTCTAATAATATCTGGAAATTTTATTTTGAGTTTCATTGTGTTATTTAATAYTAGCATGTCTCTTGTAGTCACATGAATTATTTACTTGAGTAGAACTTAACATCAGATACCAGGACCAAAGAGGAGCCTGAATTACTGAGTTTGGCTTTTTAACTGCAGAAATAAAAGTTCTATGTGATAGTGTGTGATGGAAAAACATACTGTCAGTATAGGTCTCTATAATGTTACTACAAAGTCCTTTTTGCCTCTTGCTTCTAATTCAAGGATTCTTTCTATGACCTTTTCTCCTTGGTTTTCTTTTACTTATAGTGTTCATATTTCCCTCTTGTTCTTTCAKCAGTTGTTTCTCTTTTTGGCAACGTTTTTCTTCACTCTTGTTGTTATTGCATGTTCAAAATATGCTGGTTTTCTTCCCTTCCAGACAGAAAGCCAAGACAAACAATAAATTAATGCCCGTTTTAGTGAGATTATAAAGTGAAATAATATGAAATAAAAAGAGCAGATTTATCAAATGGCAATTTGTCAGAGTGATTGGAATATAAAAGTTGTTGACGGAGACTAATGGTAGTTGTAAAGGAATTTTAGGTTTAACTCATGCAGCAGAAGTAGCGGAACTTTATTTTTAYGCCATTTATTCATTGGAAGAAGAAAAAGTGAAATGGGCTTAGGGTTTTTGGCAAGAATTAAAAGAAAAATCTTAATAGGAGTGTTTTTTTCACTTTGTGTGATGCATTTAGATGGAGATTGCAGGAATTTCCTCAARCTAAAGGTTTAAAAAAAACTATATCAGGTAAAACTACTTAGAATTAGTGAAGAAAGAGTTAATAGATTGTTCCAAAACAGAGGTTCTTTTATGGGAAACGGTTTATGCCCTTAGCTGGTATATAATTAGGGTAGGAAGMTGTGGTTTTCAAGCAATCATACTCACATAGTTTCTTCTACTTCACAGTTAGATAAAGAACTCTATGGACAAGCTTCTGTCTGCATGATACTATTTATTTATGGTTAGGTGTTCATGTGTAAAATTATATCAATGAAATAAATAGTTAAAAGAAATTAACACTTTCTGTGGTTCAGAGTTTGAATGCTTAGAGCTTTCTCTACCCCTTCTGTGTATGAGTTCAAATAGTCTTGAATTACATATAATATATTCTGTTTGGATGAGACAGCAGCACAGAATGAACACAATCTTGGAATAAAATGATGCTGTGTCATGAAACACATGAACATTTTGTGTTGAATTTTTGTCATATCTGTCATGTGCATTAGACTGTGTCAACTTGAGACATAAGGAGTTTGAYTGAAATACTAGAATGGGTGTGGTGCAGAGACTGAGTCTGTCTCAGTGAAATGAAGCTGTGAAATTATTTTATATGCACACACATACCCATGCAGATAAAATGGTCACAATGTGATTGGGGGAAAAAGATTAAATAGGGGAAAAAGGGGGTTTTCTTAATTTCCTCATCATAGATGTATTACACAGCTCATACAGGTAATGTAAAAAATTCTCTTTTTATCTGACAGAGGAATGAGGGAGATCTCTTTCACCGGCTGTGGCACATAATGAATGAAATCCTAGACCTGCGAAGGCAGGTCCTTGTTGGCCATCTCACCCAYGATCGAATGAAGGATGTCAAGCGACACATCACTGCTCGTCTGGATTGGGGCAACGAGTGAGTAAATAGAGCAATGAATCAAATGTAATAAAATTATAAGGCCACCCGCTTTAGGCTGATTGTAGAATGCTGAAAAAAACAAATTTCTAACAAGGCTTTCCTTTTTTTTTAAATTGATTTCTCCTTCACTGTTTTTATGTTCATTATGTTTTAACAGTGAAAAGTGGCTTATTGTTTTATTCTGCTTTTTTATTTCAGTGTAATTTACATAGCAGTAGTACTGTCTATAAGATAATTGCATTGGAATATCTGAAACAGCCTTTTATATCCTTTTWAAACACACTTGGCTAGATGCCTGGATGATACATTTAGCATAGCTTTGTGTTCTAACTGAAACTATATTGGCTGATACTGCTTCTTTTTTAACTTGGTCACACAGTTTAGTTTCTACTTGGGCATCTCTACCATCTAGCTACTGTGCTCTGCATCTTTCTTTTGTCTGAATAACTAAAATGAGCTAACAAATATTGTATTATCTAACTTTTATTTTAAAAAGCAAGAACATGGTTAAAACACCCTTTGGCGTTTAGGTGCTGTTTCCAAAGTCTTCTTTAGCCTATATTTATACTGATAAATGCTGGCTGAAGGTARCAATATTCAAAAGAAGAATTAACTGAATTTCAGGGGTTTATACAGCTATCTGAAAGCATAAATACCTAACACAGTGAAAGGGTTGTGACTAAATGTGTCTGATTACCTGTCCACTTAGAATTTTGTGATAACTGAGAGGAATTAATTATGAAGGTTTTTGACAGTGTGAGTTTGTGCTCTTTAAAAGGTATTTTTGAAAAACTTGCCAATTTTTCTAAACTCAGCATGACTGCCCCATRTGTGTTCTCAAACATTATTGCTTGCTGCTGTGCTGAAAATCAGTTTTATTCCTGATGATTCAAGCTCRTTTCCTCATTTTGTTCAGGGGATACAGGCAAGCATCTTTGATACCATCCATTCCAAATTGAAAATGAGCTGATATTTCGKTATTTGATAAGTTCTATTTTTATTTTCCTTTCCATGGTTGTTATTCACATTTACAGTACTAGTGCATTCACACTGAAATGTTCACAATAGTACAAAGGACAATATCCWTTGCACATTTTCCACAAAGTGAAACAGATTTTAAAATTGTGGAAAAACATTCTATTGTGTTGCAATGTGGAGAAAGGGGAGGAGTCATATGTGAATGGCAAATGCAGCCAAAATATATTAAACCAAAACCAAAGTCAGCTAATTGTAGAGTACCAATTAATATGTGCATTGTTTATTTGAATAACCAACAAACACATACAGAGTTAATTGGTTTATTTTGAAAGTAAAAACTACTTACTTTTATACCATTTCTCATACAGACAGCTGGGGCTTGACTTAGTTCCAAGAAAAGAATATGCTATGGTGGATCCTGAGGAGATCAGCATTACAGAGCTCTACAGGCTGGTATGTGAATGTACCTTGTACTTTTGCTATCAAATGACATACTGATAGTTGGCAGTTCTTTTCTGTTTAGCCAAAARAGCCTTTTTTGATCCAATAAACTGGTATTTCATAATGTAATGAGTCTTACTATAAGGAAAGAAATTTTTTTTAGCAGCTATGTCATCTCTACATTTGTGTGAGATGCTTTGATACAAAATTTGCGTGCACACATGCTTAGCATACATGTTATTTGTTAAAAGTTTTGTTTTCTAACGTACCATTAAAATTGTGACTGTTAATGTGAATTTAATCATTAATAAAAGCTTATGAGATTCTTTATCATTAAAGCTTTACCTGGCCCATGAGCATGTTTAGTTAAGATTTGTGGAAATATGATAATATTCTCAAGGTCTAATATTGTCATAATTAATCATACTGGCTCTTGGTCCTTTCTAATATATTAATGTAAATAGCAGTTAAATTGCATAAGAAAGCTTTCCTTTGGGTGTAAAAGCCCATCATGATTTACTAAAGCCAGCACTGATATTTCTTATTCTGATTAAATCTCCAGCGACATTGAAGAAAACTTGCCAATTCATTTATGTAGKCTTTGGCTCATATTTAACTACTGCAGCTGTTACAGATACACTGTTCTGAGCCTTATGTGCTTAAGACTAAGCTTGTATTTAAACTGAATTTTATTTATGACAACTTTTGTATTTAAATACAAAACCCCAAAATATCATCACTATAGTTTGCTGTGGAACTGAAATAATTATATATTTTTAAATAATTTTCAACTCCTTTTTTTAATAACTTGTAATGTCAAGCCTAATAGTAAATTATTCATGCTAGAATCAGTATACCTTTCTGTTTTGAGRCTTTTATAGTTGACTCAAACTAGTCACTGTGTTTGTGGTATTTTTAGATGGAGCATCGCCATCGAAAAAAAGATACACCAGTACCAGCCAGCAGCCACCATCTTTTTGTTCAGATGAAGAGTTTAATGTGCTCCAATCTGGGAGAGGAGCTGGAAGTAATCTTTTCACTCTTTGATAGTAAAGAAAATCGACCCATCAGGTACCATATGATGTCTATTTAAATACTGATTTTATGTAAATATTATAATAAATAATATATCTTTTGATTTGGGTAACAAATTCCACGTTTAGAAACAAGAGGAAGATACTTTTGTTTCATAAGAATCTTCTGCTTTCTTCTGAAATTCAGGTCTTATGTCTAATGATTTGTGTCATTGAAAGTTTTTTAAAAAATCTACCTCTGTCKTGTTTACTTATTTCACTTTCCAGGGCTTTTTTGTGTAGGAACATATATACATGCATCCATACAGAATGGTCATTTTTCAATATCTCTGTTTTCATCTCTTCTGATCAGTGCACATTCAAAACCTTGAACTGTTGCTTCCTCTGTAATATTTATGAGATGAATCCTCCTCAGTATGTGAGACTGGAGGGCTGCCCTTAGTCAGTGAATTAAGCATACTTTYTATAAAGGGACCCTTTACTTCTACGAGAAGGTGCTATTTTTTCAGTAAAACTGTCACACTCAATTTGCCCTAGAGTTTAAATTGTTTGAGAGACCTGATAACCTTTGATTTTTAAAATATTCAGTAGTTATTTCTATTTTCAGAATTCTGGCTGAGAGAGAAAACATGGGCATGATCAGTAGTGAAACCACTATGAATTTAACAAATATGAGCACAGGAGGAGAGTACAGTTAGTGCAAGAGTCCAGTCAGTTCTGTTGGAGCAACATGACAGGAAGTCTGAACCRTTAAATGGCTCTGCAGTGCTGATGGGTGTGGTGAAATGGCCTCCAGCCAACCACAGCCACCCTGTCCCTCCCCTCCTCAGCTGGACTGGGGACACAAAATAGAACAAAAGGCTCCTGGGTCAAAATAAGGACAGGGAGAGATTGCTCATCAATTACCATCACAGATAAAACAGAGTTCACATGGGGAAAATGAATGTATTACCGATTATATCATAGTAAGATGAGAAAGAAACACAAAACTTAAAATATCTTCCTCCCTACATCAACTGTGCTCAACATCATTCCTGATTTTCTCTCCCTTGTCCACTCTGGCAGCCCAGGGGACTGGAAATGAGAGCTGTGTCAGTTGATCACACATTCTCTSCCAMTSCCTCCTCCTCRGGGGGAGGACTCCTCACACTCTTCCTCTGCTCTGTCCTGGGATCCCCCGTACTGGACATGGTTTTCCATGAACTTCTCTAGCTTGGGGCCTTTCCACAKGTGTCTTAAATATGGCAATAGGAATTTGGGAAACTATATGGAAGTTGGGCTGAAGACAGAATGATGTCTGTGCTTTGAAGGGCAGGCAAGAGAGCTAACCTGTACTTTGAAGGAAGAGCATCCTGAGTGCATTACTTTTTATTGTTAGTGAGATCATATATACCCAGCTAGTGTTACAGTGTTAACTGTTAAATACTGACACTTCTTTCTGGCCTGCACTTCACACAGTAGTCACCAAAATACAGTTTTCTGTCATTTCTGAGAATTAAATAGGATGCATGCATCAGGACATGTCATTTGTGTTCACTCCAAGGAATGCCACAGCAGGTGATAGATTTAGGAGAGAGCTGCAGACTTTGACAGAAAACAATTTGGGATGATATGGATTGCTGAAAACAAGGTTAAGGCACTAGTGGTGGTATGAAAGCAAATGGATTGGATTTCACGTTACATGAAAGCACAAATTCTAGAGCTGTTTCTCACATGCTTGCTGTGATCTGACCTTTAGTTATTGATTCCTGCCTCCAGTGTCTGTTTTCAGCTGCTTACTGTGTGTGAACTTCCTCATCCCATYACTGGCAAACCTTGAAGAAACATGTTGGTGAAAATCCAAACTGCCTTCTAGGGCATGGGGGGAAATGACAGGATAAGCCTTGTGAACGTAGTTTGCACCATCTGCAAATCAAACAAACATACAACCCTKTAACAAAAAACCCCAAAACACAAAAARAAGTCCAAAGAAACAAACRGAAATTCTCAGCCTGTTGGGAAAGCTAAACCTGAGAGAGTTTTCACAAGAACAAATTAAATGCAGAAGTGTCCAAGATAGATATTTATATGGTCTGTCTGGAATAGATGTGGAAGCGATTTAAGCAGTTAAATACAGAGTTAAACCAAAGCTGTTTGGTCGTGGTGCACAACAGGGTGGTGCAATGTGTAATTGTTAGCACTATGTGTACCAGGCTTTCCTCACKTGGGTGATCCTGCTTGTTTTAATGAGACTGTTTGAATGCATAATACRGTGTTCATTGTCTGCCTCATACAGATTGACATAAAGCAAGTGAGCCTCTGAAAGAGTTCAGCTGGAGAGAGTAAAAATAGCAGAATTGAGATTTAACAACAGAATTTCTTAAAACTAACTTAATTTCTTCTCAGGTGGACCTGCGATTGTAAAATCTCTCTTTATCAATATATCTRTCTCTAATGTATCTATTTTTTCTAACCTCAGTTTATGCAATTGAAATAGCAGCTTTAAAAGATTGTTGGAGGACTAGAGGAAGCAGCATTGTCTGATTTTTTTTTAATTGATCTGATGTATTTTTTGCAGCTTTTTTTGTTTGTTTTATGTTATCAGTTTCATACAGTCAACAGTTTGAACAGCAATATTTGTTCAAGTATCACAGTAAACAGAATAGCAATTTTAGATTCTGAGGTGGGGAAAGTATCTCCAAAAAGGAATAGTATTTCCACTCCAGACTAGTGCAAGAAAAAGCCCTGTAGAGAAGTCCATGCTTTGGAAAAACAAGGTAAAAAGAAGATACTTCATAACAWAGGGTTTGGTAGCTGAGCTTTGTATTACAGCACAAGAATAAAATTGTCATTAGGCCCTTGTAAAACTATAGTTTTCTCGTTCAACATTAAGAAATGATCAGACTTAGAAAATATCCATTAAGCAATGAAAGATAGTGGAACTTTTTCTTGTTATTGTCCAGTTACAGGTTCTCGTTGAAAAAAAAGCATCCCATAGCAACTGAGATAAACCAAGGTATGAGGTGAAAGCACAGTRTGTTAATAGTTCTTGAATTTGGCTTAGTGGGATCAGAATTGAGTGTCTAATAAGAAAATGAAATATCATTACATGCTAAGAACAGATTAAAATAATATAGATGTATGAAGTAGAAAAAAAATTAGATATTGAATTGAAAACTATGAGCCTGAATGTCAGCACAAAACTTTTCTCTTATTCTTGTGACCTGTGTGTTTTGCCACAGGAACTATATTTAAGAAGTATTCTTAGCAGGACTGGATTCTAGCATGATGTGATGTAGGTATTCTGTCTTTGTGAAGACAAGCAGATGAGGAAAAGGAGAATAGTAGTAATTTTAATTCCTTTTATGATTTATAAAGTATCTTCATGCAGATTGCTGTGGCTTAAGAGACAGTTCAGATTCTTCAGTACCTAGCAAGCATAAGTTTGAACATTCAAAGGCAGAGCGAGAAATTAGACATGGGTCTTTGTTTTCTTTAGGAAAAGCCWAACCTACTACTATAAATGTATTCTTTGCCTACACTGCACTCTTGTTCCTCTTTATTTGAAAACTAAATTTAAAAAACATCCCCAAAGTGCTTAATATTTAAATTCAGCATTCTTCATCATCTTTTGTTTCTGAGTCGTTGTGCCTCATTAGACATGAATTAGTCCTGAAATAAAATGTAAGTATGTTTTCAGGTGGATGTCAGGGGGAGGAGCAGACACATCACCCCCTCTGGAATCTGTGTAGATGGAGGTATCTTTCTGCAGTCATGAGTGAGATGCCAAGATTAAGCCATAGGGCAGTGCTTTCCTTTTTGTCTAATTTCAGGTTTAATGATGAATCAATGGAGTTCAGGATTGGAAGCCAGATCCAAAGACATCTAAACTTAAGATCTTTGTGTGAATTATATGTCTAGGCTTCTAGACATATAATACTAGCAAAACCTAGAAAGCAATTGAGCTGATGAGATGTCTTCGTCTTCTTTAGGGCATTTTGGATAGCTTCTTAGGATCCATAGATACTATTGATTAAAGAGCTGCTCAGTGTACCCTGAAGTAATTTTGATATGAATTTATCCTATTTTTTTTTTGTTTTCTGTTTCACTGCTTTAGATCTCAGTGAAGTTTGAAGCTTCAAGCTCAGATTTTGAAATCTTAAAGGATATAAATTCTCAGTATTAGTTACCTGAGTTTTTGACATCAGCCGTTTAAGAGCAGAATCTATAGGAGAAAACAAATTGCCTCTTAAATATTTGCAAAGGACTTGGGGTAGTTGGATCAAAAATAGGTGATAAATATACATGTATGTACAAATTAATTATTTTTCACTTTATGTTGAATTTTTTTTTTTTAGTTTAAATAGAACAGATATGTTGTGGTATGTAATATATATCTTTAAGGAATACTCTCCTAATTTAAGATATACATTGGTGCTCTTATTGTGGGAGCTACCAGTGCATTCTTAAGGTAACACCTTTTAAAATAAGTAATGAGATGGCAATTAAAGCCGTAAAAACATTTAACAGTTATTCTGATTTTGATAATGTATCTTAATATTCGTTTAGTGTTTGGAATAGATCATTATTAGATGATCTTTAAGGTGTGTTGCTGCCCAAACCATTCAATGATTCTATGAATAAAAGAAAAATTAGGTATATTTATAGCTAGATTATTTTCAATTAAATAATTTTTCATCTTGACAGCATGTATAAATGCTCATGATTTTTCTAACATGTACTAAGAATTAGTACTGATTTTTTTGGTGAGGTGTGAAAATCTGATATCACAGTGACAAAAATAATCAGTGATGCTTCCAGGTTTTTTTTATTTTCTGACTTTCTAGCTAACGRTTTTTCTGGATTGGTAGAGGCTGTTATGCATTGCTTGCACTGTATGTAACTTAGTGAGATCAGCACTCACTTTGAGCAATAGCGATGATTTTCTATAAGCTTTACGAAGTTAGAGAGAAATACTTTTCTGGGWCTACTTTCCATTTATTTGGGACACTATGGGATTGTACTTTTCTCCAGACTTTTTTCTGTTCCTGGAAATTG